AGCAAAATGTCCGTTGTAGCAGGACTCTCGCTATAAGGGATCCAGTAATAAATTTATCTGTGTTTTTGTGTGTGTGTGTGTGTGTGTGTGTGTGTGTGTGTGTGTGTGTGTGTGTGTGTGTGTGTGTGTGAAGAACAGTAATATTATACTGACAAGGCATTGCGCTTTTTTTTTTTTCAAAGTGTTTTACAGCGTTCGCAACTGCATAAGGTCATATGAGCACGCGGGACACATCAAACATTTTCAGTTTGTAAGAAATTTTGAATTTTGCCCGGGTGACGGCCGAAGCCTACTCTTATCGATTTTATACGACCGAGGGATCTTTAACGTGCGCAACTTGCACACGGGCCCTCCGAGACTTTTCGCCCTTTACCGAGAAGGCTAGGTGTAGATCTTTCCTACCAGAAGATCAAGGGTGTGGCAGAAAGACAACAGTAAGAAGGAGCCAAGGAGTAGCAGTAGAAAGGCTGCAGAAAGAGTCAGGGGCTGAGAGGAGGGGGAAAGTTCCGCTTTTTAAATAACAGTATACAACATTCTGCTTTGAAGAACCTGTCGTCAATGCAACCTGTTCCTGTTTTTTCCTTCATCTGTAACTGTAAGTGCCACGTCTGAAGCAGACATCGACTGCCATGGTAGGGCGCCTATTTCCCTGCTCGAATGATCTAAACATCTGCCCTTGTCTTTTCCCACCACCCCTCGCAGTTCTAACTTTTACTTTTTGCTTGTTCATCCTCTGATAGTCTGATGCGGTTAAGTGTTGAGGGAAAATGCAGTTTTTTATTGCGCATATGGCCGCTTTTAAGCACAAGGGGGCTATCCCGAAATATTTTGTTTTGAGAAAATCGAAGGTAAAGTTTTCGACCCTTGTTCAGTATCTTTGAAAGACACGAAGAGTCTTCTTTATAACCAAACAAATATACACACCAATGAAACCAAACTTATCCTATAGGTAGGGCAAAGCCCATGATTGGTGTAGGTCAAGATTTCTAGAAACCCCCGAAATCTGGATTAGCCCGCTTGTCCTTAAAAGTGACCATGCTATGGTAGGCCAGCTCCACAGCTCTTTCAGTTGTGATATTATGTTTTCTCAAGGTTTCCTTGACACCCTCAATCCACCTTTTGCGTGGCCCTCCTCTTCCCTTATAGCCTGAGTGCTTGGTGTTGTAGGCTGTCGATGCTGGCTGGCCAGGTGACATACGTAACAGGTGTCCAAACCATTTTATTTTCTGTCTTTCTGTGAATAAATGTAGGCAGAACTCAGTGCCGATAGCTGCTCTTACTTCTTCACTTCTCTGCCTGTCTCGTCTTGTGATCTTAAGGGTTTTGCGGAGACATTTCATTTCGAAAGCGGTGATTTTGCCTTCATGGGTTTTACTTAATGTCCAGGTCTGGCACTGGTATAGTAGCATAATGTTGGTACGAATATTCAAGTGATAAGTACCCAAGCAGTACAACCATTTTGTTGTCTCACACCCAAACTCTGCCAGTTCATGAGATTCCTCAATAGCGCAGGAGGATACATGTACTAACTTCTATATCAAACTTGTTTTGAAAGTTCCTGTAACCTACTCATACTATATCTGTCTTACTTACCAAATAAATGTTGACTTTTTCCGTTTGCAAGTCCGTGTATATTGTGCTGTAAATACTTACTGATGTATTTTTGGTGAGTTAGTACATATTAATAATAATAATAA